TTTTATTATATATTATCACACCGGCCGATTCCCACCAAGGCAGGGTGGCCCAAAAAAGAAAAACTTTCACCATCATTCACCCCATCACTGTCTTGCCAGGGGGTGCTTTAACACAAGTTTTTAAACTGCAACTTAACACCCCCTTCAGGTGCGGCACTGTTTTCCCCTTCCCAGGACTCAAGTCCGGCCTGCTTTTCCCCTGAATCCCTTCTAAATGTTACTTTGCTACACTCCAAAGCAGTCAAGTTTTAAAAACCATTTGTCCCATTCACTCCTATCAAACACGTCACGCATGCCTGCTGGAAGCCCAAAGCCCCTCGACAAAAAAACCTCCTTTACCCCTCCTCCCCCCTTCCTAGGCCGACCCCTACCCCCCCTTCCCTTTCCCCACTAAGCTGATACACTCTTAAAGTCATTTGTTTCGTCCATTCTCTCTACATGTCCAAACCACCTCAACAACCCTTCCTCAGCCCTCTGGACAACTTTTTGGGTAATCCCGCACCCCTCCTAACTTCCAAACTACAAATTTCCTGCATTATTTCCACCACACTTTGCCCTCAGACATGACATCCCACTGCCTCCAGCTTCTCCTCGTTTGAAAATTTCATCACCCCGTTACCCCCCATAAAAGAGCGTTGGTAAAAATACTCTATACTTCCCCCTTTGCCCCCAAGGAAAAAGTTCTTTGTCCCACAGACCCCTAAGTGCCCACTCCTTTTTTTCCCTCATAATTCTATGATTCACCTCATCTTTCATAGACCCATCCGCTGACACGCCACTCCCAAATATCTGAATACTTTTCACCCCTCCTACTCTTCCCTCCAATTGATTTTCAATCTTTCATCCCCAATTTTTTTGTTATCCTCAAAACCCCTTACTCTTTCCTGTATTCCCTTTAATTTCCTTCTTTTGCCACCCTACCAAATTCATACCCAACTCGCAACTTCTCTTCAGAATTTTCCCAAAGGCCCGTGTCATCAGCAAAGAGCGCTGGGGGCAACTCCCACTTTGTGTGGATTCTTTATCTTTAACTCCCTCTTGCCAAGCCCCTCGATTTATTCTTTAAAAACCCCATCTATAAATTATTAAACAACCCGGTGACATCACACATCCTTGTTAAGGCCTACTTTTACGGGGAAAAAAAATTTCCCTTTTTCCCTAATTCTAATTGACCCTCACTACCCTCGTAAAAACTCTTCTGCTTTCGTAACCTCCCTCCTACACCTACACTTGCAACATCTCCACATTCCCCCCCCTATCCACCCTGTCAACCCCTTTTTCCCAAATCCATAAAGCCACAAACCTTTTTTCCCTTACCAAAACTGTTCACTTATTGTTTCACTGAAAACCCCTGGTCCCACACCCCCTACCTTTCCTAAAGCCCCCTTGTTCATCTGTTTATCCTTTTCTCCGTCTTACCTTAATTCTTTCAATTAAATTTACCATCATTTTCCCAGGTACATCACAACTTATCCCCCTAAATTTTTGCACTCTTTTTACCCCTTTGCCTTATAAAAAGGAACTATGCATGCTCTTGCCAATCCCGGGTACCAAAACCCTCTTCCATACATTTTTTAAAATAATTGCACCAACCACTCAAAACTATTCCCCCCCTGTTTTTAACATTTTATTTTATCCCCCCAATCCCGGTCTTACCCCCTTTTTTTACTACTGCCTCACGAACTTCCCCCATTTTTTTATTTTTAACACCCCGGCCGATTACCAAAAAGGGAGGGTGGGCCCGAAAAAGAAAAACTTTCCCTCATTCACTCCATCACTGTTTGCCAGAAGGGGCTTTACAACAGTTTTTAAAAATGCAACATTAACACCCCTTTCAGAGTGAGGCACGTACTTACCCCCTCCCGGGCTCAAATCCGGGCCCGCCTTTTCCTTGAATCCCTTCAAAATTTATTTGCTCACACCCCAAAAGCACGTCAAGTATTAAAAACCATTTGTCTCCCTTCACTCCTATCAAACACGTCAGCATGCCCGGGAAGCCAAGCCCCCCGCACACAAAAACCCTTTTTTTTAAAACCCCCCCCTCCAACCCTTTCCCAGGCCCACCTCTACCCCCCCTTCCCTTCCACACAGACATACACTCTTGAATCATCTGTTTCGCCCATTTCTCTACATGTCGAACCACCTCAACAACCCCTTCCCCAGCCCTTTGGGCAACAGTTTTGGCAATTCGCAACCCCCCCAAACTTCCTAACTTGAATTCTCGCTTGTATTCACACCCCAAAAATTGCCCTCGACTGCATTCCAATGCCTCCAGCTTTCTCCCCCGGGCAACATTCCACCCCTGCTTCACACCCATATAAGAGGCTGGTAAACTATACTCTCATACATTCCCTCTTTTCGTCCCAAAGGGCAAAGTTCTTTTTCTCCACAGATCCTAAGTGCATGCTCACCCCTTTTCCCCCCCATCAATTCTATATTCACCTCTCTTTCTGACCCCCCACTGACACGTCACTCCCAAAAATCTGAAAGCTTCACCTCCTCCATACTCTCTCCCCCAATTGATATCCCAATCTTTCACACCTAAACTTTTTTTTTTCCTATAACCTTTTTCTTTCCTGATTCACTTTTAATTTTCTTTTTTACATACCCACAAAAAACATCGACCAAACCCCTGCAACTTTTTCTTCAGAATCTCCCCAAAAGCACAGTGTCATCAGCAAAAAGCAATGTGACAACTCCCCCCTTTAGTGTGATTCTTTATGTTTTTTAAATCCCTACCTCTTGCCAAGACCCTGCATTTTTTCTCTTACCCCCATTATAAATATATTAAAAAACCAAAGGTGACACACACATCCTTGTCTAAGGCCTACTTTTCTAGGGAAAAAATCTCCCCTTTTTCCCACATTTCTAACTTGAGGCCTCACTCCTCGTAAAAACTTTCACTGCTTTCATAACCTACCCCTATACCACTGCCACTTGCCCCCCATTCCCCCCCTGTATAGCCTTTTCCAAAACCATAAAAGCCCCAAAAAAACCCCTTCAGCCTTTCTAAATACTGTTACTTATATGTTTTACTGTAAACACCTGGTCCCCCCCCCCTACCTTTTCCCAAAGCCTCCTTTTCATCTTTTATCCTATTCTCCGTTTACTCTTCATTTTTCAATAATAAAAATTACTACACTTTACCCGGTATACTCAACAGACTTATCCCCCTTTAAATTTTTGCCTCTCTTTTGTCCCCTTTTTCCTTTAACAAAGGAACTATGCAGCTTTCTGCCAATCCCCAGGTACCTTACCCCCTTCCCTACATTTATTAAATAAAACACCAACCACTCCAAAAATATATCCCCACCGGGTTTAAAAATTTTATTTTATCCTTCAATCCCCCGCTGCCTTACCCCCTTTCATTTTTTCCTACGCCCCTTGAACTTCCCCCCACCTTCACAACTGGGTCTTCCTCACTTTCAAAATGTTATTAGTCCTTGCCCCCTACACAAAAAACAGCTTCCCACTTCATAAAATTTAACAATTCCCCAAAAAATTCCCTCCCTCTTTCCCAATACCCCTACTCTCCATTTAATAACTTCCTCTTTTTTTAACTCAAAAACGGTTTGTTCCTTTGGGTTCCCTAACTTGTTAATCTCACTTTCCCAAAAAATTTTTTTATTTTCAACCCAAAAATTTTTTGTAACATCTCAAACCCCCTCCTCATTTGCTCTCTTTTTACATTGCTTTTACCCCTTCTTAACCCCTTTTTTTTTTTCTCCATTACTCTTCCCCCCTTGCTCACTTCTACTTTGTAAAACTTTTTTAAACTAACTTTTTCCCCCTTAAATTCTCTTTACAATTTATTTCACCATCGTCCCCTTCCCTCCCCCCCACTTTCCTGTAACCACAAACTTCGCGAACACTTAAAACTTTTTTTTTAAACACCCCATACCCCTTCGACCCCATTGCCTATGCTCTCATTAGCCCCTACTTCCCAAAATGTTTATATCTTACCCTAAAGCCTCCCCTTTTGTTTATAAACCTTCACCCTCTTTCCCGATGTTTCTATTTCCTTGTTCCCCCCCTACCTTTTGCTCTCAGTGTAGCTCAACTAAAAAGTATTGATATATCTGTGGTCCTTTTTAAACATTTAATCCCGAAGCTCTCAAAGTCTTTTTTCACCAATACATAACCCAAAAAATCTGTCATTTTGCCCCACATCATATCTTTTATACTTATTTATCCCTTTTTCTTAAAATTTGTATTACCCATAACCCAAAACCCCTTTTCTTACAAAGTTTAATCAAAGGCCCCCATTTCATTTTCCCTGGCTCCCCAAACTACCTACCACACCCTCTCTAAAAGTTTTCCTACTTGAGCTTCAGGTCCCCTACCACAATTTTCTCTCTCCCCTTGGTTCAAAGGCTCCTATACATTCACTTAACACCTCCCAAAATCTCTCTCTCTCCTCTACATTCCTCTCTTCTCCAGGTGCATACACGCTTATTATGACCCACTTTTCGCATCCAACCTTTACTTTAATTCACATAATTCTTGAATTTACACATTCATATTCTCTTTTCTCCTTCCATTACTGATCCTTCAACATTATTACTACCCCTTCCTTAGCTCTAACTCTCTCAGATACTCCAGATTTAATCCTATTTATTTCCCCCCACCGTAACTCTCCTACCCCCTTCAGCTTTGTTTCGCTTAGGGCCAGGACATCCAACTTCTTTTTCATTCATAACATCAGCAACCATCTGTTTCTTGTCATCCGCATTGCATCAACGCACATTCAAAGCATATACATACATACATACATATATATATATATATATATATATATATATATATATATATATATATATATATATATATATATATATTGGACAAACAATGCTTGAATTAAAAACAACTGAAATCTCGGCGTTGATAATAACATTGGTCTACAAAAATATTAGAATAGTTCATTGGTGTGTGTACGGTTAGTTATAATAACTTGAATATGTTCCTCAGCGTAAACCAAACTGAACTTGTTTTCTCGGCAGGGTGCGTGGCGTGTCTGGGCTGCGGGTGGTGGATGGCTCTATCATGCCTCTCATTACATCTGGAAACACAAACGCCCCAGTTCTTATGATCGGAGAAAAGGCCGCAGACATTATCAAACAGGACTGGGGCATTCCAACAACTACGTATTAGAGGAATTACACGTGCGCACGTCATCAACCAGAGTGGACGTCCTGTTACAAGCGCATACTCGCGAGGATGTCATCAACCAGAGTGGACGTCCTGTTACAAGCGCATACTCGCGAGGATGTCATCAACCAGAGTGGACGTCCTGTTACAAGCGCATACTCGCGAGGATGTCATCAACCAGAGTGGGACGTCCTGTTACAAGCGCATACTCGCGAGGATGTCATCAACCAGAGTGGACGTCCTGTTACAAGCGCATACTCGCGAGGACGTCATCTGAAAGAGCAGCAGAGCTGTTTATCCCTTAGTTTTGAGTACTATAATAATAATCAGGAAGAACTGAAGCGTCCTTGTAACTTTACTCAGGATATACCCGTGAGGAATTTCATATTCTACTAAATATTCACATTACTGAACCTGATCTATATTGAGCATGAAGCACTGGAAAGCGGCAGTCACAGGTACAGTACGTAAATTCATTCAGGTTCAGATACACATAAATACAGTTACATAAATTATCATACATAGCAACATATGTGTAGATTACCGAAGATAATCCCCCCAAAAAAGACAGACAAAGTGATTGATTTCCATTGGGGTTCTTGTAATAACTTATTATTTAAACAATATAGAGAGATATACTAGGAATAAGGTAAAGTCAATAATTTACATTAACATTAAAGACAGGATCAGATCAGAATAATAGGTACAGATATGTTAGCTGTTCAAGAAATCACTCTCCTCCCTTTCTGTAGCTACATTCATGAGGTACCTCTCTGTAGCTACATTCCTTAGGTACATTTTGGCTCTCTTCTTGTACTGGTTCATGCTATAATAGGCTTTGACAGGTGCAGGCAACATGTTCCACTCCTTTATTGCTTTACAATAGAATGTGTTTGAAGCCTGACCACTGGCTGCGAACACTACAAAGTTGTTCTCCCTACCCACTGAAACCATAACTGCTTTGGTTCCCGGTCTTGACAAAATTGGCAGCAAGATATTCTGGACACTCTTTATGAGCAATTTTATAAACGTGATTTAGATGTTGATCTTCCCACAATCTCCAAGAAAATTGTGGAAAAATGTGTATCATCTTCCCACAGTGAACACTGGGGAAATATGCATTTTATATTCTTAAAATGAACGTATGTAAATTAATTAAATTCAATTTACATCAACTTCATAAATATGCACATATGAGTGTGCACGCTTGTATGCTGGCCGGACTCAAGTCTGACGATTTCCCTGAATCCGTTCATGAATGTTAACTTTCTCACACTCCAACAGCACGCTAAGTTCTAAAAAAAAACATTTTTCTCCATTTGCTCCTAACACTCTCACGCATGCTTGCTGGAAGTCCAAGCCCCTCGCACACAAAACCTCCTTCAACCCCTCCTTCCAACCTTTGCTAGGCCTTCCCTCCACTACAGATTTATACACTCTCGAAGTCATTTTATTTTGTTCCATCCTCTCTTCATGTCTGAACCACCTCAACAACCCCTCATCAGCCCTCTGGATAATAGTTTTGGTAATCTTGCACCTTCTCCTATTTTCCAAACAACGAATTCTCTGCATTATATTCACACAACACATTGCCCTCAGACGTGACATCTCCACTGCCTCGAGCCTTCTCCTTGTTGCAACATTCATCACCCATACTTCACACCCATTCAAGAGTGTCGTTATAACTATACTCTCATACATTCCCCTCTTTGCTTTCATGGACAAAGTTCTTTGTCTCCACAGACTCCTAAGTGTATCCTGCCACCCTGTCATACGCCTTTTCCGAATCCATAAATGCTAAAAAAAAACTCTGTATCCTTATCTAAATACTATTCACCTATGTTACATTGTAAACACTTGGTCTACACACCCCCTCCCTTTTCTAATGCCTCCTTGTTCATCTTAATTTTTTTCCAAAACGCTACCATTCACTTTACCAAGTATGCTCAATAGGCTTATTCACCTATAATTTTCGAACTCTGTTTTATCCTCTTTGCCTTAATATAATAGGGCTGTGCACGCCCTCTGTCAATCCCTTCTTCCATACATTTACTATATAAAAGCACCAACCACTCCAAAACTATATCTCCACCTGCTTTTAACGTTTGTCTTTATCTCATCAGTCCCAGCTGCTTTGTCCCCTTTCTTTCATTCTACCCGCTGTCTCACGTACCTCCCCCACAATGGCTCTTCTTCACTCCTACAATGCACGAAATCACAGTTTCCCTATCGTCATCAACATTCATCAGTTCCTCAAAATACTCCCTCCATCTCTCCATCTAATAACTCTCCTCTCCTATTTTTAACTGTGAAATCCATTTGTTCCCTAGGCTTTCTCTGCTTATTAATCTCACTCCAAAACTTCCTCTCATTCTCAACAAAATTTGTTGATAGCATCTCATCCATATATATATATATATATTATATATATATATATATATATATATAATATATATATATATATATATATATATATATATATAAAATATATATTTTATATGGTGTAATAGAGTAACAGTAGACGCTCGTAGAGTGTAAGAACATAAAAACATAAGAATGGAGGAATATTGCCGAAGGCCTACTGTCCCATACGAGGCAGGTCCTTATCAAAACGACCTCTACCCAAAGCTACCCAAGAATTTACTCCCGTACCCAATGACACCAATCAAACCCAGCCCCTCCCACTCATATATTTGTCCAATCTCTTTTTTAAACCTGCGCAAAGTCCTAGCCTCGATCTCCTTACTGGGAAGATTGTTCCACCCATCCACAACTCTGCTAGAAAACCAGTACTTGCCTATGTCCTTTCTAAATCTAAATTTATCCAACTTAAATCCATTATTTCTGGTTCTTACCTGGTTCGACACCCTCAGTATTTTATTAATATCTCCTTTGTGTATGCCCGTCATCCACTTATACACTTCAATGATATCTCCCGTCATTCTACGTCTCTCCAGAGAGTGGAGATTTAAGGCTTTAAGTCTATCTTCATACGGGAGATTCCTTACACAGTAAATCATTTTAGTCATTCTTCTCTGTATATTCTCCAATGAGTCTATATCCATCTTGTAGTAAGGAGATCAAAACTGAGGAACATAATCTAAATGAGGCCTCACTAGTGATGTATAGAGCTGTAAAATAACTTTTGGACTTTTGTTACTTATACTTCTTGAGATAAATCCTAGTAATCTGTTAGCCTTGTTGTGCACACTAAGGCACTGCTGTCTTGGCTTTAGATTTTTGCTTACCATGACTCCCTAGTTTTTTTCACATTCTGTATGATCAAGCTCTACTTCGCGTAGTTTATAGCTTTGAGGGTTATTTTCATTATCCACATTGAACTTCATCTGCCATTTTTCAGACCAAGACATTAATTTGTCCAAATCCTCCTGAAGTTCATTCTATCCTCCTCAGAATGAATCATGCCGCCTATCTTTGTATCATCAGCAAATTTGCTAATGTCACTCGTAATCCCTTCATCAAGGCCATTAATGTAAATTATGAACAAGAGAGGATCTAAAATTGAACCTTGTGGAACGCCACTAGTGACTAATCCCCATTAATGGAAACTCTCTGCTTTCTATTGGTAAGCCATGCCTCTATCCTCTTGTGAGGTACTCTATCGAAGGCTTTACTAATATTCAAATAAACAATACCATATTCTTTATTACTGTCTACTACCTCAAATGTTCTATTCAGGAACGTCAGTAAATTTGTCAGGCAAGAACGACCTCTCGTGAACCCATACTGAGATTCATTAATCAAATTATGCACTTCAAGGTGACTTCTAATAATGTCAGCTATAATTGATTCTAATAACTTGCCCACTATAGATGTCATGGACACATTCAACACACTCGTTAATGGCTGACTAAGTTCCATCTTGCATTCCTTAAGTACCATGAAAAACAACTTGTCGGGCCTCGGGGACTTATTTTGCTTCAGTTTGTCTATCTGTTTGATAACCTGTCCCTCCTGACAGTAATATTAGTTAATTTGAATTCATCAGGAACTGAATAATTGTTAATTTCTGGAATCTCATTTACGTCTTCCTGTGTAAAAACTGACAAAAAATAGTCATTAAATACGGAACACATTTCCAGTTCGTTATCCGTCAGCTATCCATTCCTAATTTTCAGAGGTCCTACTTTTTCCTTCACCTTCGTTCTATACACTTGAAAGAACCTCTTTGGATTGGTCTTTGATTCATTAGCAACTCTAATTTCATAGTCACGTTTAGCAAACAAGCTTCTCTTTTAAGCTGAACATATTGGTCAGTAAGGTTAACCTCTCCTCTTCTGATGCGCCTATAAATTCCCCCTTTCTTCCCTAATAGATGCTTTAGCCTCCTGTTAACCCATTTGGGATCGTTATTATTAGACCTGATTTCTCTCTGGGGAATGTATATACTCTGAGCACGGTGTACATTATTAAGAAAAAATCATAAACGCAGATCCCTTCGTAATCATAAGTACGATCATCGTCAATAAAATCATTAGCTACTTAACCCCAATCAAGATTAGACAGGTGTTCGCTAAGTCCACTATAATCAGCAAAACGAAAATCAGGGATTTTTACTGTATTATCATTATTCTAGTATTCCCAGTTAATGCTAAAAGTGGTTTATTTGTGATCACTTGCGCCAAGCTCTTCAGTGATCTCCAGATTATTTGCGAGTGTTTCCTTATTTGACAAGACTAGGTCGAGCAAATTATTACCCCTGGTAGGCTCTGTTACACACAGCTTCATAAAACAGTCCTGAACTGTTTCCATAAAGTCACTGGACTCTAGATTACCGGTCAAAGAAGTCCAGTCAATTTGACTAAAGTTAAAATCCCCTATTATCACTACGTTATTGTGTCTAGAAGCCCAACAATTTCGTCCCATAGAAGTCTCCCTCTATCGTGGTCCAAGCCTGGAGGTCGGTATATTACACCTAGAATTAATTTTTCTTGACCTTCTACAAACTCTACCCAAAGAGATTCTGTTACTATTCCATCTAATTTTATACTTGTTGTTATGCAACAATTAATATTTTCTCGAACATATAATGCACCTTCTTCCCCCTTCCCATTACATCTATCCACATGGAACAGCTTAAACTCTTAGTATTACACTCAGCAATCATATCCCGACTTTTTAAACCATACCACTTTTCAGTTAATGCAATGACATCAAAGTTCCCAGCACACGCTACCAAACGTAGTTCATTAATCTTATTTCTTGCACTTCGACTGTTAGCATAAAATACCATCATATGTTTCTTCCTCTGCACATCCCTCCCATTCACCTCCGCTTTTACACAATTTCTGAAATTATCATTAACCAGCTTTATCCATGACTATTATTATTAAGATTCATAATATCATAGCCTAAGTCAATATATCCATACTCATTATTTTTCATTTCTAAACCCATACCTCTAACTAATCCTAGTGTAAAGTCCTAACAACCACCTCAACTGAGCTAGCAAGAAAACCCACACCTGCCCTGGATAAGTGAACCCCATCCCTGGCATATATGTCATTTCAGCCACAGAAGTAGTCCCAGTTGTCAATGAATAGTACTGCATTATCCTTACAGTGTTTGTCTAGCCAACATTAATACCAGTTGCTCTGGACAACCATTCGTTTCCACCACCCCTTCTTAGCAAAATGCCATATATAACAGGGTGCCCCCCTTCTTCCTAATTATGTCTATTGCTATCCTGAACCTTCTAACTAAATCCTCACTTCTACGCTTGCCTACATCACTGCCTCTAGCACTGAGGCAGATAATAGGATTGATCCCATTACCGTTCATGATGTTGTCAATCTGGCAAACAATATCCTCCATCCCAGCCCCAGGAAAGCAAACCCTTTGTCTCCTATTCCTATCCTTCAAGCAGAAGGCCCTATCCATGTACCTAACCTGGTTATCCCCAGCAACAACATTTTTACCTTCCTTGGTGTCGTTCGTCGTGACGTTCCCAATAGTTGACTCACATTCGTTGGGTAGCACAGAGAATGCATTAGGTATTTCCACAACAGTTTCCACAGCAGTTTCTTTCTTCTTCATCGTTTCTACCTTTCCATTCGATTTGTTGATCATCAACTTCGTTCCATGCCGTCCAGCCACTGTCCAGGTTCCCTTCTTGACCTGAGGACTCACAACAGGAGGACTACTACGAATCCTCTTGTTTTCCTCAGTCAATCGCCGTATCTCTATCTTCGCTACCCTCAATTCCTCCTTAAGCTGCTGGTACAGTTGCTCGATGGAGGACATCTTGGTTCAGTCTACAGAGAGTACACTAGACACGTTCTCACTGAGCTAAGTACAGGTCACCACTGAGCTAAGTACAGGTCACCACTGAGCTAAGTACAGGTCACAACTGAGCTAAGTACAGGTCACCACTGCAGTGTGTAGCTTTCAGTGTAATTATACACCGAGAGTTTACTGTAATATCTAGCCAGTACTAGCTCAGCATTTACAAGATCACTAGCAACATCGTCGGCCTGAATTGGTGTCCAAGCTGCATTTCTTAACCAACCTACATAAATAGGGTCTTTGCTGTCAACCCATCAGCGCTTAAGACTGACTCCCTTTTTTTTGCTATTGTGTTCACCTTCGATATTTTCACTTCTGTGACTACGATGCCATATATCCAAACTTTTCCCAAAGCCACATAATAATTCCCATAAATCAAATGCTAATCCAAACCGGCCTTTTCAGTCATATGTTTGTCTAATCTCTTTTTAAAACTACCTAAGATCATAGTTTATGTTCTAATGAGTGTAACAGTCTGCTTAATAAGTGGAACAGTGCTCCTAGTAAGGTTATTGGGTAGCGTCAAATATAGGTTAGATAAAAACATGAGTGAGAGTGGTTTGATTTGAGTGGGACTTGCAAACTAATTAATTGTGCTATCAAAAATAACTCCTGGGATTGCACTGATCTCAGCAACACTGAGTTACTCACTTGGGAATGGAAGGTGATCATGTTTGATCCAATGATATGGAAAGTAGCTCCAATTCCTTATATCAAAAGGCTTCCAAACCACCACCATGAAGGCACGCCATTAATATAATATCTTTATTTACTACAAGTACATGTACAAGGCAGAGAGCATGCATAGTTCCTTTGTATAAAGGCAAAGGGGACAAATGAGAGTGCAAAAATTATAGGGGGATAAGTCTGTTGAGTATACCTGGAAAACTGTGTGGTAGAGTTATTATTGAAAGAATTAAGAGTAAGACGGAGAATAGGATAGAAGATGAACAAGGAGGCTTTAGGAAAGGTAGGGGGTGTGTGGACCAGGTGTTTACAGTGAAACATATAAGTGAACAGTATTTAGATAAGGCTAAAGA